AGAAGTAGTTTCATGTGAAAGTAGTCTGATCCAAAGACTGAATGGCACCTTAACACTGAAAAAAATTAAAATGCTCACAATTTTTTGTGACCAATATTTTGAGCAGATTCTAAAGCAATTGCACTAGAAAACCAATCCACTGAGCATAATCATCCCCATATGGCTAAGTGTCATAACTGGCTGTCTAGAATAATTCAGATAAAAACTTGAATAAACAATTTTTTAGTTAATGGAACAGTATTTTGGTAAATGCCCGCGAGGAGTTTTGGCTTCTTTATTTCTAAGCCTCTCCTGCTAAAGCTTTTCCATTTGGCAAGAAGGGATTTTTCCCATGACACTTAAGGTCCTTAAAAGTGGTTTATTTTTGCAGTTATGGCTATTTGCTGAAACAAGCCATTATTCATATTCCTTATCCCCGTGGCAATGAACAATCTGCTGGTCATGAGCACCTTCAAAAAAAACCAAAAAACAACCCATTACTTGTTAACAAATTAGGATGAGGGGTTGACTGGATGCGGATTTGTTGTTTCTTTCGTGTTGGTTTTCTTGTTGATTTTCTCTTTTTGTGGATCAGAAGAGAAAAACCAAGACTTCTATTCATTATTCCAAGTGGCAGTTGTGTACTGTACAGAAAAAGGCTTGTCTAGAGCTGAAATCTTGGATTTGACATTTAGTCAACGTGACGTTGTCCCTCTAAAGAAAAAAGACTTAATTTGTTAAACTGATGTTAGCTTAAACTGTACTTAGGAACCATTTTATCTTAAAATATCTGTCTACTCAGATTATTCTCAGTTAGGTCTTACTGACAGCATTCACTCAGTTACACCAAAGCACAACAGCCCAGTACGGGTTTGAATACCTCTTAGTAACCAAGATGTATTTTGATTCATGAAACAACCGTTTCTGCTTTGCGTGTGGTAAAGCGCCTGTGAGGCTCATAGGAAGCTGACTCATAACGGAAAGCTTTCCCCCGCGTGCCCGTAGCACAGGCACAGTTGCCAAGAAGTTATCTGGGTTCATTTCCATAGTAACCAATCAATATAACTCTTTATTTTCTAAAGCCCTTGCACTTGAATTAAGAACCTCACAAACTTAGACGTTACTCTTAAAAGTTAAATGTTCTGATTATTTGACTTGGATTTTTCTGGTGGTGGTGGGGGTTGCACAGTTTGTACAAATGTAAAACAATGTGCCAGTGAAAGAAAGTAATGATACTTTTTTGAAGTCCTTATGAGGAGGAGGGGGTATTCCTGGCTTTACCTGATTTTATTTTTACAAGAATTGGAGCATCTATATCTAGAACTGAGGCGTTTTTACTGTACCTTTTTAGTTTCTTGTTCGTAAGAGAACTTAAAAATCTGATTGTCCTATTTAATGTTTATTAAATTACTTGCCTGAATAAATCCTGACCTGTGATATGAGTGGATTGTCTTCCAAAAGCATAGTGCTTTCGTGCTACCTTCCTTACCAGAACAATAATTTACATATTGCTGTGCCAAAATAAAATCAAGATCCTTGAAGGTTTTAAGGACACTTACATTTCTCAAGCAGATGTTGATGTTACATCTATCTTGTATTTGCAAGCAAAAATACTCCATTTAATGTTCACTAAATTATCTTTTACTGATGTTAGTGATATCTAGAATACTATAAACCTGTCCAATGTAAAGCTGCTTTGACTGTAGTTTGCTGTTGAGGTGGAAAGGTGTTTTGAAGAGCAGAAACAGAACCTGAACCATAATACTAAGTTGTCTGAAGATTTTGGTACGTTATTTTGACCTTAGGAGTTTACAGAAATATCCAGAAAATCAAAGGCATTATTTGTAGAAAAAAATATTATTAATAGCTGGAAATGTTATAAGCGTAAAAACACTACAAGAACTTAGTGAAATGATGAAAAGGAGGAGAGTGGTTCTGTTACTGGTAGTCCCAGTGGTGTCCTGGGTGGGAAGGGTGACGACAACTGTCATCTGATGAGCAGAGGCTATGAGAGGATTTTTTTTTTTCTGACCTTTAGGGATGACAAGTGAACACTTTCAGTCTTGTAGCATTGTTTCGTAGGCTGATAATGAGTAGCAGAAACACTGGAGACTGGATTGTTTTGCAGATGCTGTTGGCTGCACAGCAACGTGCAAATGCAGGCTCCCTGTGGATTCATGGCCGTAGCTGATGTGCCTTGGTCTGAGACTAGAGATTGACCTTAAGTCAAAGGATTGTTAAGAGTTCTTGCTTTTTGAAACTTAATAAAGGTTTGTATAATTCCATGCATTTTAGTATCTATTAGGTATTTCTGGTAAGATGTAATGTCAGTAACTCTTTTAAGTCCAGTAAAGCAGACAGCCAGCTACAACAATCGCATTGTTTAGGCGACAGTGTTTTTAATTATCCTCTTCATGTAGAGTTTTTTTAATTATAGTGGTGTGTTAAAACTGAGATCCTTATGCTTTGCTGAAACTACATATAAAATCTGATTCTGGGATTTTTTTTGTGTGTGCCAAAATGTGATGGTTTTAGTGAAAGAAAATCTTCACCAACCATATCACTTAGTTAATCTGCATTCAAGTTCCCCTTCCCACTCAGTCTTTTTGGTCTAACAAGCTCCTGAGGGTCAGGGTAACTACCAGCAGGGCTGAGGGCATGAGCGAGTCTCTTGTCTTGCAGTGCCAGTGCTGGCCTGTTGCTTCTGGTGCTCACAAGAGGACGGAAGAGCTGTTGCATGAGAGCTTCTAGTGTTCTCAATCTATCCCAACAGAACTCTTGGCAGAAGGATCAGACTACTACACTGAATTTAATGACTGAAGATAGTGACATAAACGTCCCAATCTCTATTTGAACCAAAATTTGTAGCTAGACAGTTCATGAAAAAGGTAAAACGGGTTTTGATGTGGTAGGGGTTTTAAGAGAGAAGAGGTCTTTTGTTTTTTCATTTTTAGGATAAGCTCAAAATGTTACTTAGAAAAAAAAAACTTCAGAAAAGGTGAATTACAGAGATTTAATTTCTAAGTTACTGGACCCCTGTGATCTGCAGAAAAAGAGCGCTCTCAGAAGTTGTGTTATCTTTAAGCACAGTGTATGAAACCTGCAAATACGCAGACCCAGATACGATGTACTTGGATAGCTGCGTTCTGCTTAACAGTGGCCATCTAGCTGACTATTTTTTTTACCTGAGAGTTGAATAACTATAGTGTAAGTGCTACAAGTCATCCCTAGGCCTTCTAGCTGTCAGTAGTGTTAGCAGTTATCAAATATCCCTTTAAGGTTGTATTTCACTTGATGACTTCTTGCTTGAGCCTGTTTCCATTAGAGGAAGTAACTATTGGTAATTTGCCTTTTTTGAATTCAGGTTCTATTTTGGATTTAAATAACTCATATGCTGGCAGTTTGGGATTTTTTTTTTTTTCCCAAAGCACAGGGAAGTTTACAACATAAAACATAATGGATAGAAGGTAGGTAGCTCATGGCATACAGAGCCTGTTCCCTTTAGGTCACACGCTTGAATATGACTCAGTGTTGTATCATCGGAATTTGTTAGCCTGTTGTGGTCATCAAACTGACTCATTTTAGGCAGGCTACTTTATTCCTACCTTAGGAAGTCACTGTGCCAGTGGGCGTTGTAGCTGGCAATCTCGCCAGCACAGCAAATCGGAGCTTTAGCTTCAGCCTTGTGATTCATCATTTCTCCAGGGGTGATAAACTGTGACTCCAGCTTATTCTGAACCGCAGAATTCTACTTCTGTTAGAGATGTCAGACTGGCTCTTCAGTAATAACCTGCTGAAAGAAGTTAATATAAAACATAGGAATGCATGTATTAGAAAAAGGGAAGAGGAAGGAAAGGACAAATACTGCTTTAATATGTGAGGACTGTACTGCAGTGATTAGAGTGGTAGAAGAAAGTAGCACAGCTTCTCCACAGTTCCAAGTTCTGAGTTTAGAAATGTGGGACTAGGAAAGAGCTTTTGACCAGTGAGGCAGGTCCCTCAGAATCACTGGTCCTTATGGCCCCTGTTACTGACAAACAGGCCAACCTTGGTTTTAAAAATGGGTAAGATTTTTTTGCTGCTACTTCTCTTATTTGGAGGCCATTCTAGAAACTTAATCTGTGGTTTGAGAGCTTGTAATTTCCAGTTCTAAATGGATATTTGATTATGCCTTATTTTGGTCCTAACCACTTAAAAGTTATTTGGTCTCTAAAGTGTTTGAATTACTCAGTGTATTTTTATTGTATGTATTTTTTTTTCTTCTAAGTTACAGGAGTTTGCTAGTTGTGTGCCCTGTACCTGTTCATTTTGGAGTCTGTTCTTGCTCAACCGGAGTTACCCAAACAGAACAATGTGTTCTGTTTCAGCCTTCTATAACAACACTAACACAGCTGAAAGCAGCCTACGTTTTGCCTTTTTTTTTCAGCTGCATCAGGCTGTAATCCTCCTGCAATGAACAAATCCGTTCGGGTATCAGTCGTCTGATTTTGCTCTCAGGCAAGCTCCCAGTACGTAGCTGAGACTCGTTTGCCCCGAGTGCATGCTTTGTATCTGGCTATTGTGCATCACCGCCTTTGTACTTTTCCAGGCCTCACATTTATCTAGCTCCGCTTGTATGACGCTCCCTCTCTCTGTATTGAGAAACTCCTTCTCAAAGACAGTACCTTGAGCACAAGCCAAAGCTCAGCAGCTCGGAGGGCAGTGCCTGGGAGCTCACGCCCAGTAAGACTTCACTCTCCTGAGGCAAACTGGAGAAATCGCAGTCTCATGCATTTGCAGAAACACATGGCTGTTGAATTTTTCTGTAGGTCTAGTATTTTGTTCAAGGTTTGAAACAGTTACTGGTCTTGCCACACAAAGAGAGGAATGACAGACGATTATTCAGGCCTCGGATTAGGTTTTGCATGAAGCGGCCACTCTACAAACAGTGGAACCAGCGTTTGTTCCTGAGCTGTCCTGTTGCATTTTGTGTTCCTGAATGTATATGCAGCTGGTACTAAGCACGTGTTCTCTATTTGCAGGGAGGTAGTACAGGCAAACTGTGTCCGCTGGAAGAAAAAGTTCTTATTTATGTGTAAAATCAGTGCCAGTGCCACAACAGGGATTCTGGATACTTGCATTTGCAGGGTGTCTGTACGGAAGGTAAGTTCTTTTTCCCTCCTCTC